CTATCACAACTTCTCACTTGTTTACATTCCAGCCTTCAAAATGTGTGCCCTTTTGTGGCAATTTTAGTGCGGCTTTGACCTATATCTATAAACTGTTGGAAATCCTGGACCGAGAGGAAGATATACTGCAATCACAACGGATTGGTAGGGAGTCCTTGACTAGATTAATCAACTTTACAATAAGGACAACATATTTCACATTCAACGGAAAAATCTATGAACAAATATTTAGACTTCCCATGGGATTGCCGCTCTCACCACTTTTGGCTAATGTATACATGAACAAAATAGAAGAGAGCTTTAAGATGCACCGCTACAACTGGCAATACTCATGCGGTACTTAGATTATTATTTCGCACTCTGGTCACATAGAAGAGAAAAACTGGAAGAATTTCTGAAGTTTGCAAACCAAATTGTTAAAAAATTCAATTTACAATGAAAATAGAGGAAGGTGAGTGGTTACCGTTCCTGGACGTTGAAGTGATTCGTTCTAATGGGATGCTCAAAAAGAAAGTGTACAGAAAGAAGTCCTATGCGGGGATAATACTCAATTTCCGGTCCCATCACAATTACAGATTGAAGATTCGAATAATGAGGAGCATGATCATCCAAAGCCTACGATTAACGGACGTAGAATTCTGGGACGAGGAGCTGTACAAATTGACGGGGATATTCCTCCATAATGGCTACCCTAGCGAAGTAATACAAAGAAACATACGGCCGTGAAAAGCCGATAGCGAAACTGGGAATATGAAAAAAACAGAAAGGGCGATGATGGATTCACAAAAGTGGATATGCCTACCTTCCCGCGAACTAACTCAAAAACTGCGGCCAATATTGAGCAAATGGAATATTCAAGTGGTCATGAAAGAAAGTTCAACACTTTTCACAAGTCTACCAACGCAAAATGAACGATTAGACAAATTGGATTGTTCAGGAGTTGTATATCATGCGGCGCCTGCGATCAGAAATATAATGGCGAAACAGGGAGAAAAATTAGCACACGAATCAAGGAACATCAAAGGCTCTGCAGGAAAATGGACACCAAAAGATCAGAACTAGCAAAACACATCGCGCAGACTGGACACAAGATAAATTGGAAGGCAACAGAAAGAAGAGCTCCATACAAGGACCACACAAGGAAGCGCAAGATTAGGGAGGCCGTAGACATCCTTACGGAAAACAATTTAATGAACAGGAGATTGGAGGAAGGTCGAGTTAGCGATAACTTTGCCTACTGCATAAGCAAACTCGGGAAACACAAGAATGAAGCAAAACCAGCGAAAAGTAGACGCCTGGATCAAGGATCTACTACAAACAGGAGGAAAAGGGATCGCGAGGGAGAAAATGGGGGAAAAGGGTTTTCTGCAATAAAGCGAAGACGTTTGTCAGTGAGTA